AAATTTTTTAACGTCAAATTTCTCAAAACTAGGTACTGAGTGGATAAAACTTTGTAATTCTAGGGTAGCGAAATGGTGAAGGTGTTATGCACTACCTGTGTGACAGGTTTCTTGAAATTTTTGGAACAGGCTGAAAAAAAAAAAAACTCGACTGATTTTAATGACGAGAAAAGACGCAAAAGTTGGTTCAGAGTACTTTTATACTATTTATTGTGCTAGCTGACTCCTGATTTTACTTGTGGGATCAGTCATTGACCTCGGCAATGGTTTAAATACAAAATTTGTGTGGAGTTATTTCTTCCACTCATGTGGTTAGAGAAAAACACCAGTGCTATGAATGTACCTCTGGCACTGTTGATGAAAGACATTTTGGTATTAAGTAGGAAGCTATGGTGAAGCAGAAAAATCAGTTAAACCTATTGTGTGTGTTATATAGCTGTTCTAAACACACCAAAGTACCTTATAATTTTATACATCATGCATCGATTAATATCAAGCCCACGGTAACAAGAGTTGCTTGTTATTTACTCTTTTCAGATCCAGTATCAATATTCTCAATCGGAGGAAGATCAATATTCTGATTATGGTCACAGGAAGACATCCAAAGTACAATTTCAGTCTCCAGACTTTCGAGAACCACGTTCCCCTCAACGCCGCTCCCCCGAACGCCGCTCTCCTCAACGCCGCTCCCCTAACCGACGCTACCAACAGAGAGATAGGTACCACAGTGCTGAACAAGACCAGGTAGAGTAAGCAGTGCTCCCAACCTCCTGCTGTGAGCCCAGATCTTTTCTTCCCCCCCCCCCCTCCCGGCAGGGCAGAAATGATTGGTTAAGGATGTTCAATGCCGATCCAAATGTTTTCTGAAATGAAGATATGTAAAACTGACTGTAGACTTCTAAGATGGGCAAAAAAAAAAATCCCAAATGGAAAAAGATACACTTTTGAAGTTGTAGGCAGGCATACTTGTGGCCTTAAATGCTTTTGGTCTAATGTGTCAGGCTAGTTGTCTTCTAAAATTTTTGTAAGCCACATTTTTGTTAATCCCCCTCCCCCCGAGAAAAAAAAATGGGGAGAATGAAAATGTTGCTGACCTTTAGGTTATAATTGATGTTTGTGAGAGTTAAATGCTAGGCAAAATGTTAATATTTTTGTTTGAAACTCATATCGGTACCAGAAAGCCGAAATAGGTTCTTAAATTGTGCTGAAACCCCCCTTTTTTTCATTTGAATATGTAGAAGTGCTTAAAAAAACCCAGTCCAACTAAATGAGATAAGGATCTTCCTTCTGCTCTTATTTGGGAAAGTGAGCTCATGTAGTGAAACAAAAGCCTATATTTCTTTTGAATTGTCAATGGAGATTTTGCTTATGTGACATCAATTGGAGCTGTTAACCTGCTTAGGGACGAACGAAGATACAAAATGGCTGTATTGAACTATGCAAGGTGTAATTTTTTAATGGGTTTCTATCGAAAGATAACCGAAGATTTGGTATGAAGTTCGTGCCTAAAAAGATAAAGTCAAATTTGCAACATTTATTTTGTTCTGATATCATAAGATTACATAGTGTTAAGTTCCTTGTTTAATTGATAAGATGCGCCCCAAAATCTTGCAAAGATAACGACCATATTCCTTTTTATAGCTCAATGCAAAAAGCAATCTGGAACCTCACACATTTGAGAGTCATCTAGCTAATCATTTCTGGCCTGATTTGATGATCCTTCACCCTTTGAAATAACATGACACATTGCCTCTTTGGTTGAGATTGTGCATCTTGGAAGTGTTTGGGTTTGCAGTTGAGATTAACGTCTTTCAAAATTCAACAATGAAATGAGATTTCCTCTTTTGCACCTACTCCCATAAAGTCTTGTGGATGATCAACAACCCACTCCAATGCTCTCTTGCTCTCAACAGTTATGTATTATCTACATCACCTCTATGGATCGCTTTGAGCATTTGTCATAGCTAGGGTTACGTCCCTTTGCTGATGTATGTTCTGCTCCATAAGGAAATACAGAGTGGTGTATTTGTCCCTCTCCCAGTTCAGTGTCTTTTAATCTTCCCTCTGGCTCTTTATAGTAGTTATATTGTTGGTTTCCTTTTTCTTAGACTGTCAGAGAGTTACTAAAAATGTTCTTCCCCTTTGCTGACTTGTTTTATTTCAGGATTTATTTTGCACATGTCTATTACTGAGTATATTTTATTCTCTAAATGCCATTTTTTTCTGTGTATGCAATCTTGTTTCCTCCTCAGGAAAAAATGTGATGTAATAATTATTTTGTATGCATGGTCAGAATTTATGTATGCTTTGTAATATGTTTTCATGCAATACCTTGGACATATTTGTATGTAAATGTTTTAGTTCTTTTAAAAAGTGTTAGTGAATTTTGTGTTCATGATACACGTTTTGTGCTTGGGTTGGAAGTTCAATCTTTTCACAATGGTGTGTTGTCATGAATGGTTTGGACATTGTATCTGTACATGGGGCAAGTATCTGTAATGCTCCATTGACCTTTTTGAAAAATGTTTTTTACCATGTTTGCCATGGAAGTTCAACTGACATATTAATGCTTTTTTGTGTACAGATATAGTTCTATGGAAATGCATTTTTGTGTTTTTGTGCATCACCCGATGAACCTTTTTTTTGTTTTTTGAATATATATAGTGTTTGGTACAATGTACATAACATGAATTTTTATCTACATCATTGTAATTTTTAAAAAAATTAGTTATGTGTTCTCTGTGAAATAATATTTGGTATGAGAGATCAAAATTTGAACTATGAGGTAGCCAATATTGGCTATATATTCTTTTTAGGAGCTGGGGAATGCACCTGGTTTCAAACTGACTCATTGTTTTCTCATTATAAACTGGGGATTTTTTTTTGCATGTTGCTGGTATTTGTATGCTTTTTATATTTTTCTTCTTAGCACTTTGTCTCTCTCCTGCTATAATTCTTACGAAAGGTACTGCATTGAAATGTACTAATACTCCATTTCATTTGGAGAGTTGATCTTAAAAGCTTTGTCTCTTATTCGTAAGTGTTATCTAAACAAAATGCCTCAAAATTTGACCTATAGAGTATATAGCCAGTTGCTATTTTCAGATCGAAATAAGATAGGGATGGAGAAACTTTTACTAAAATCACAATTATGAAACTGTCCCTATACTCGCCATATATTATTTCTCTGATACTGATTTTTTTTCCCTTTAAAAAAAAATGTGTGACTTGTGAGGAGCATGTATTACTGGACTATTTCTTACTGGGAAGGTTTAACCCTTATTTTTTAAAATGTGACTACCAATCTACCCATATTAATGAAATATACTTCCCTTGGACTGGCATTTTTATACAGAGCCGTAAGATGAGCAGCAGTGCAGAGTATAGGCAGATATGGAGACAACAAAACAAACACCAGATGGTAACACATCCAGATCCTATTTTTTATATTTTGTAGATCTCCTAACTGGTGGTGTTGAGGTATCCCATACATGTCCTATCCACAATACATAAACCTTATTTATGCAGTGTGCTGAATCTTTAAGGCATTTTTAACGCAATTTTAAATCATCGTTTTTGACATTTCATTTCAAAGCTTAAAAAGGGAGATGTAAATTGAGTAAATAACAGTAAAAGCATGGTCTTTGATTACTCAAGCCGCATTTGCATTTAGCTTAGACTCTTTTGTTGACAAAACCATGTAAATCTTAGAACTTATAAGCAATGATCCTCATGCATAGCCAACCAGCTTATTTTTTAGCAAAGACTGCAAAGCTTGGTTTCAGAAACGTAGAAATTGTTCTGCTGCGAACACTCAGAATTTTACGTCGAAGCTTTTCAGACTTCTTGGTTCTTGTGTCTATAAAATTGTAAACGATGTCAGTGTACACATATAACAGAACACGTACAGTCTGTGCAATTTGGAATCATCCTCTCCTCATCAACATCACGAATGATTTTATTTTTCATTATTGCCTAATTAATTGTGTTTTTGTAGTTTCTGTAGTGCCCAACAACTGTCGTTTTAACCGTTGTAGTATGTTTTATCTTTTTTTCTCTCTCTTGCGTCTCTTTTTTAAAATCGTGATTAGATATACCTGAGGATATTGAACAGCTTTGTACTTAACCTGCTTTCCTTCATGTGCACTAACGCTAACAGTAGAAAATGATTTTTAAAAAAACCAACAAACCCAAACCAACCCGCCCAAATAAATAACAAAAACCAAAAAACAAACGAACAAAAAACAAACAAACTGTGCTGAGAATTGTTGAGCTAGCGTGCACGCATCCACGCACTCACACACTCAGACACACTGGCAGCACGAGCGCACACACACATACATACATACATGCACACACAATATACTCATACAGACAAATTCATTCACTTATTCACTCACGCACACCAGCTCCCCTCCCCTCCCCCCTCTCCTCCCTCCTATCT